ACAATGCCCCTGCTCATCCACCAAACCTCGAAGATGACATCCTCGAGGAGTTAAAATTCATAAAGGTTCTCTACTTACCACCCAACACCACTCCTATCCTGCAGCCCATGGATCAGCAAGTGATTTCTAATTTTAAAAAACTATACACCAAGCATCTGTTTCGGCGCTGCTTTGAAGTGACGGAGAGCACAAACCTCACCCTTCGAGAGTTCTGGAAGGACCACTTTAATATAGCGATTTGCCTACAAATTATCGATCAGGCCTGGTCGGGAGTTACAACGAGGACCTTGACCTCTGCATGGAAAAAGCTGTGGCCTGAAGCTGTAGCTGAAAGGATCTATGAAGAATTGGAACCCGGTGTTTCAGTAGAGGAGGAGATTGTATCTCTGGGGAAATCCATGGGTTTAGAGGTGGAAGAGAGAGACGTGAACGAGCTCATCGAGGAGCACACCCAGGAACTGAGGAGATACAAGAGTTACAGCAGCATACTGAGGTTATGCAAGTAATTGGTTTTGAGGAGTCAGAGGAGGAGGTTATTTCTACAAGTGAGATAAAGGAGATCTTAGGAATGTGGGAGAGAGTTTCACAGTTCGTGGAAAAAAAAAACACCCAGAAAAAGTTGCAACAGGTCGTGCATCTGACCTTTTTAATGACACTTGCCTAACTCATTTCCGGAACATTCTGAGAGGGAGGAAGAAACAAACCTCCTTGGACATGTTTTTTTCTAAACGGCCTACAGGTGAAAGCGAGAAAAATGTAGCGAAAAAGGCAAAGACCAGTGAGGATATTAACGAAAAATAAAATTTCTCTTTAAAGACTTATAAAATGCTAACAAAGTAGAGAGAGAGAGAGAGAGAAAAAGTTTTCTTTATTAAAAGAATTTGTTAGCATTTTACCAGTGAGGATATCTAATTTATTTCTTTACATTCTCTTTTTTGTTTTTGTGCAATAAATATTTGATATTTATAAATACGTTTTTATTATTTAAAACCACGTAATAAAAATAACTGGGGTTGTGTGACATTTTGGAGGTTGGAACGGATTAATGGTAGTTCAATTGTTTTGTATGGGGAAATTTGCTTCGAGATACGAGTAATTCAAGATACGAGCAAGGTTGCGGAACGAATTAAACTCGTATGTCGAGGTACCACTGTTTATTTGTCACTAGTGACCTTTTCATTTGTCAAATCAGTTATTTATTTTTGGGATACAAACAAATAAATCACAAAATACTATTATTCATATCCACAAAGTTGTTTCAGTTTTTAAAAACGATTTAAAAACACTTTTTACTCAAAAATGAGCAACGTGAATGATTTATACAGCTTGCTAACAACGCATTTAAAATAAACTTAATTTATATTTTTGTTGAAAGTGGAAATTACAGATATTTCTACGATAGAATACTCTTATGATTTGCATAGTGTTTGGTGTCTTATTCTTCTTCTCTCTTATCTCCACTCAACAATCATATCAGGTTATCAAGCTTGTAAAGCTTGTTGATGATGTCTGCCGGGGATGAGTCTTCTTCTTCTTTCTTATCTCCACTCAATCATATCAGGGTATCAAGCTTGTAGAGCTTGTTGATGGTGTCTGCCGGGAATGGATCTTCTTCTTCTTTCTTATCTCCACTCAATCATATCAGGGTATCAAGATTGTAGAGCTTGTTGATGGTGTCTACTAGGGATGAGTCTTCTTCTTATTTCTTATCTCCACTCAACAATCATATCAGGGTATCAAGCATAGAGCTTTTTGATGGTGTCTGTGCTGGGGATGAGTAGAGCTCATCAATTGATGAGCCAATACAGTCAATAATGTGTTTTGGGGTTGCAGGTTGAGAATTGCACTTAGTACATAGTGGGAAAACCTTGCAACTATTGTTTTTTGGTGTTATCTATGTTAATTTACATCTCTGCCTATATATCACAGCTCTTTTAGATTGTATGTTGGCTAGCGGTTATTGGATAGGGCAGGCCGGCGTGAGCTGCTGATGTACATATAATTTTATCTCTTGTCCTTCCTTATTGTTTTATACCTTTAAGTAATGAAGGATCTTTCTCTTATTCTACAAATCTATAATTTTTTCTAACAATTTTAAATTTCTTCTATAAAAAATATTCTACACAACCTCTTGAACAGGCAATGAAAATACCGCGAGGTTTGGTTCATCAGTAGTAGATCCTCGATCGGTTTATCTAGTTTAATTATCTCATTTTTTTATGTTCAGTAAATCATTCCAATTATCCGAATCTTCGGGCTATCTGAGAGTCCACACTAATCATTGAAGGTTTTTCTAACCGCAGTATATTTATACTGCATCTCTCTCTATTAAAAACCTAGGTTTGAAGTGCCCATAAATACAAAAAATTGCTATGTAAGCATCAAAGTTATATCCACAGTTTCTCCAAACAGCTTCACAAAGAATTCACCTAACATTGCATATGCCATAGAAGCCAACACAATGGTGGACTGTTTTTTTTTTGCTTATTCCTAGTATACGTGGTACAGACCATGATAACCATGGTGAGTAGAAGAAGACGACTGATTTTACTGTAAGTGCACCACATGTCAAAAGCAGTTCGAATGAAGTACTAGTGGACTAGTAAATAGAACTAGCTTAGATACTGGAAGGGTTCATTACACAGTAGTGATTGTAAATTTTAAATTGATATTTAGCCATGAATCTTACCGCAAATCTCATTCTTCATTTCCCGGCAGACTGATGATTGATGGTTCTAAGACAATTTACAATTAACATAATTTTATTGACATCTTTTCAATACATGCAAAAGTGCACAGACTGTAATATTTTTAAAAAGTATGATGATTTTAAGATGATGATTGATGCTTCTAAGATGGAGAGGTGTCCGTCAGTGGGGTGTCCGCCAAAGGGAGATTCTACTGTATTTAATAAAACTATATTCTCGAGATATATATGTCTATTAAAAATAAAGAAGGCATCTCCTGACCACAAGCACATGCCTTCTTTATTTTTAATATCAACACCTGACCCACTTATCTTTTTTTTTTTCTATTGTTTTTTCATATATGTCTATGAAAATACATTAATTAATTAAAATAAAAAAGAGTGTTTAGAAGACAATAAAAACGTTAACAATAAATAGCAGACACCTCTAAAGAGGGTCTACCTCATGTTTAGAAGAGTTTTTGTAAATAACATCACATTCCTCTGCTCATTAGATATAAGTGAAAGGTAAGAAAGACTTGTCTTTACATGTTTTAACTTGACTTTGAAATTGTAGTTAGCTAATTATAGCTACCTTTTCAATGGACTCTGTAGAAAGTCTTATGGTACCTGGGAAGTCTGTTGGTGCGTTGAAGTATTTGTGAAAGTGTGTTTTGATAGTGAAGTTCGCGTTGTTTTTCGGAAGTTGAAAGAGTTTGGCAAATCGATAAATGGATGTTGGTTTCTAACCAGGATGCCTGAATGACCAGTTTTTTGGTCGTTGAGGTACAGCTTGCACCATGATGACGAGGGCCAAAAGCCCGAAACGCGTACATGATTAGCTTTTCTTGATTAATCAAGAATGGGTATTTAGCCAATTCTGGAATAATTAAAAATCAATGAATAGTTTATATTTATTCTGATAGATGGCGCAAGCCATCAGAAACTTTCAGTTGCAAGATAAGAAGATGTATTTTCTTAAATATATTTCTGTTCTTTAAAAGCCTCTCCCATTCTCTAATGTTTAGTTTTTTGCAGAAATTGATCGATTTAGAGGAAGATTTATTTCAATAATTAAGAGAGCGACTTAACTCGGCCTTTGCCAGTCCTAAGTCCGGATGAAAAAGGAGCAGGGGGAGCAGTAACAAGCTCGCTAAAAAACCTGGGCTCAGCTGGCCCGGCTGATAGTACCCTGTAAGGGCTGTAATGAGCAGCGTTTGTACTTCATGTTAGGAGCGGCTGCACATGGCGTCTGTTCCTCATGTCAGAGGCGGTCATTTCTTTTGGAGCTAAGTCGGCCTGCCACTGAGTAGTGCTCCCAGTCTTAATGACAAAGGCAGACGCATTCTACTTCACCCAGTCTCAAGTTTTATAAGCTTGATACCCTAATATGATTGAGTGGAAATAAGAAACAAGAAGAAGAAGAGAGCGACTTAGCTTTCATAATGTTGTAATTTTGAGAGTTGAGAAACGTATATCAACACAATGTGCAGAAAAATATTCCAGTTTTATTTGAACGATTTTAAAGAAAAAAATCAAAATTGTTCAAAATCCTCTTTTCGGATTTGTGGACGAGCTGTATAAATCTTTGATGTTGACAGCCACGACCTGCGGATTGAATCCTCTTTTCGGATTTACCTGAAAAAAGGAAATGCCCGAAAACTTTCATTTCTGTAAGATCAATAAACACGAAACCTTTTGCGAATTGTTTTTCAAAGCGCAATTAATTCTAAAATATTTACGTAGTAAATTTTTATTGTTCTCAATATGAATTCTCCAAGCAATAGTTCAACATCTGTATTTCCATTGAATAATTAAAAAAAGATTATATAGAGAAGTATAACACTATAAATGAATGACAATACATCCAGATGGCACAAGTACCTATAGGACATGAAACAAATGTCCTGGTGTGGAGCTAACACCTACCCACATATTCTCATGTCCAGCAATGGCTGCAGCCTTGCAGAAATTTTACATAGACCCAGAGCAACAGCTTTACACACCCAAGATAGAGGACATTGCGACCGCTGTGATAGAGATGCATGGAGATATCTGAGGCTCTTCATTGGACACGACAACAACAACATAGAGAAGCATTGATTTCCCACAACACTCTTGTCAGATATTCCACAGGCTAATGTAGTATGCCAGCGATTTCTAAGTTTATTTTCCAATAAACCGAAAGTACAAAAATCCATGGGAGTCATGTCAGGTGATTTGGTTGGGATCCTATCAAAATAAATAAAATAAATAAAAAGCAAGGTATTTAAGTGTCTGAAACAGTTTTTCAATTAAGCCAAAGGGAAATTTAGCATGTTTCCGTGGTGTATAGCGGTTATCACGTGTGCTTCACACGCACAAGGTCCCCGGTTCGATTTCTCAAAATATTTCGAGAGATTGCTCCCTCTTTATCAATTTATTGCACAGTGAATTTAATTTACAAATTATTGTAGATCACATGAAAACAAATTTTTCATTGGTCAAAAACAATTATTGATAATAATACAAAAAAAAAAATAATACAATAAAATATGAAAATTAAAGGCTTTTTAGAATGCAGTATTTTATAAAATGTTTTTGAAACAAAATATAAGGAAACAAAAATAAGAAACAAATAAAATTGACTGCGAATATTATTTAAAAAAAAATTAAGTTAAAAGAGACACATAAGGTTCGGGGATCTCTTCATATCTGTTTACACTAGCAGGGTCCTTCATTGATGCTATGGCCTCCAGGAACTTCCTCTGGTGTGAATTCTGGATGCCCCTGTAAATAGTGGAAGTATTTTCCCAATCTGGCTGATGTCCCGATCGGAGACCATGCTCCACCATGGCAAACCTTTCCTTTGCATACTTCCAAGAAGATTTGTGTTCTTGGAGTCTGGTCCCAAGGAAACGGCCTGTCTCTCCAATGTTGGATACATTGCAGCTTTTACATGGGATCCTATACACAACGTCCTTTGTGTTCCCTATCTCCACTTTCTGCTTTGTAATTGTATTTCGGACTATAGTCTTTAAAGATGGTGCATTTTTGAAAACAGTGGTTATTCCGGAATTTTTTAAAATATGAGCTATTTTCTCAGCTCCTGCTCCATATGGCATTATACATTTATTTTTAAAATCTTTCTTTCTATGAATGCTATTAATTTTATATGAATGTTTATTGATAAATTCCTTCGAGTCAAAAGGCGATCCATTATTAAATTCACTGTGCAATAAATTGATAAAGAAGGAGCAATCTCTCGAAATATTTTGAGAAAAAAATTGTTTTTTTTTTCTTTACAGATCCAGGTACGCCCTTTTTTATAATATTAATTAATGGATCGCCTTTTGACTCAGATTATATGTAAATTATGAAAAAGGCATCTTCTTATCGTGCAAATGAAAGTTGCTGATGGCTTGCGCCATCTATCGGAATAAATATCAACTATTCTCTTTGATTTCTAATTATTCCAGAATTGGCCCATTACCCATTCTTGATTAATCAAGAAAAGCTAACCACGTACGCGTTTCGAGCTGCATGTGGGCTCGACTCGGGCTCGATTATATGTAAACCATTTTATTCGCGATCGAACGACCCACTGTATGTATTACATCCCAAACACGACGCCAGCCATCTCTGTCTTGAGCTCGATGTACCATCTCGGCGACCATTAAGCCAGTGAGTTCCTTTAATTGGTCCACGAAGCGTGTCGGTGGGCGTCCAGGTACGAGTCGTATGTGTCGCCCAGACGTTTTCTGGTCAAAATCAACGGTTAGTTGATATTTATTCCGACAAATGGCGCAAGCCGTCAGCATCTTTTAGTTGGACAATCTGGATTTACCTTTTTCTTAATATTGTAATGTACCATATATATAATATGGTAAATATATATAATAATTATTCCTAGTATATATACCTGATACAGAGGCAATGATAATCTTTTTTTTTTTTGCTTATCCTTAGTACACGTGGTACAGGCCATGATAATCATGGTGGGTAGAAGGCGACTGCTTTTACTGTAAGTGCAGCACATGTCTGCACATGTGAGAATCAGTTAGACTTTGCACTTACAAATGTGCCAGAGCCCCGTTTGGTTACTTGCACTCGCTGGTGGGGTTGGACTTTTGCAAGAGTCGGGGGCCATTGGAGCATTTTTTTTTTATATCAGAAAAAATTGCCCAATGCGGGAATCGAACCCGGGTCGTAGCGGTCGTAAACCAACGGTTTAGACCATCCTTCCACCGACCCCCTCATGACATTACTGAATGTGCCTCACATGCCTACACATGTAGAAAGCAGTTCGACTTTTTCACTTATAAGTGTTAGAGTGGGCCTCGTCTGGTTACTTGCACTTACCGATGAGGTTAGGCTTTACCCAGAATCTTCGGCTATTGATGTAATTTTTTTTTCTTCAGAAAAAGTGCTCAATGCGAGATTCGATTTTGGGGCATGTTTCGAAAATCGACGGTTTTACCACCCCTCCACCACCCCCCTCCAATTCTGAATAAGTAAATTAATCCCCCACACGACACACTAAAATTAGTTATCTATGTATTAAGATTTGACTCAATACCTCAAATAAAAAAGAATACGAAGAATATTTTGAAAAGCCTGAAAGATGAGGATTTTCAAAGGTGTTTTGATATCTGGAAAAAAAGATGGAATAAGTATAGATAGTGACGGTGATTATTTTGAGAAATTTTAAATAAAACTTATTATACTTTTGTATTTCTTTAAATATTTAGCATTCCTGGAAATTATTGATCACACTATGTATAATTAGATAGCATATATGTTTTTATATACTCCTATAGAAGGACAGAGATGCCCGAAAGCTCGAGATTGCGATAATAAAATGAAAAGAAACTCATCTTTAGAAACCTGTTGAATTATTTAATCTATATACTTGTTTTTACAATTTTACATTTTAAAAATATATTAACTAATTTAACAATCTATAAATATTTGAAGAAAATATAATTTTATAATTTTGCAAAGGAAAGAAAGGTGTGTGATAAATCTGCTACTCTTCTTTTTTCTATTATTAAAAATATATATTTATTTTAATCTAAACAATAAAACTCATGTAATCTCAAATCTCTGTTAATGTAGGGACCATATCAGGAAACGTGGCATGAGAGATAAGTCTTCTGAATTTCAGAAACTGATGCACTGTTACTGGGTTCATTTTCATTAATTTAAATAATACATAAAGTAGAGAAGAGTACAAAAAAAAAAAAAAAATGTTCCCGCCCGGGATCGAACCGGGGACCTTGTGCGTGTGAAGCACACGTGATAACCGCTACACCACGGAAACATGAGTTGCATCTCTTTAATTTCATTCAAAACCTTTCAATAAATTTAATTACTTGAAAGAGGAAAAATAAAAATCAGGTAAAAAGTTTCTTTTAATTTTGAATTTGCAAGCCTTCGAGCAAATTTTATGTTCTTCAACGGGTTGATATACTCTATGTACAATCTCTTAATTACTAGTCATAAAGAAATACAAGGTTTTACCTTTCGTAAATATAAATAACTATAGGTGGTACATACGATAATATATATTTGTTTCTAGTGACCTTCTTCTTCGTCAAATCAGTTATTTATTTCTGGGACACGAGCAAATAAATTACAAAATAATATTATTCATATCCACAAAGTTGTTTCAGTTTTTTAAAACGATTTCAAAACACTTTTTACTCAAAAATGAGTCACGTGAATGATTTATACAGCTTGCTAACAAGATTAAAACTAAACTTAATATATATATTTAACTTTCTTTTAATAAAACATTCTACACACAACACAGGAACAGTCAAAGAAAATACCGCGAGGTTTGATTCATCAGCAGTAGATCCTCGAATCGGTTTGGCTAGTTTTTGAAATTATTTTTATTTTTTTAATGTTCAGAAAATCTGTCCAAGTTTTTTCTTTGTTGATCTGTTAAATTTCGTGGGACAAAATAACCACAAAGTGTTTTCATGTTTAAATGTTCACCAATAATTTTTTGGCAACTACCATACGTAATTCCAAGTATTTTTGATATATTATCAATAGTAATTTTTCTATCAGCAACAATTAAATCACGTATCTGTCCAATATTGCGATCCGCTGTTGAAGTCAATGGCCGACCTGACCTTGAATCATCTGCGATGCTCTTACGGCCATCTTTAAAACGTTTATACCAGAAATAAACTTGCGTTCGTGACAATTTTTCGCCTTCATAAGCTTCATTTATAAATGCTAATGTGTCTCTGTGAAAGACTTTTTTAATTTTACACAAAATTCAATATTTGCCCTTTGCTCAAATGATGACATTGCAGAAACCGATGCGAGCTAAATACAACAAAAATATGCCTAAAATGAAAACTACGCATGCGCATTTACTGGCGTCGCTGAATTAAATTATAGTTTAGGCTTTGTTATTTACAGTAAAATTAATTTTACACTTTTCAAAAGTTGTTTTATATTTTATTTTTTAAAAGTTCGGGAACTTTTTGATCCTACCGTGTATATGTGAAAAATAGTACAAAATTGAAATGGTACTGGGATTAGGTGGATAAATTAAGAAAAAAGGCATTTCCTGATTGTGCAACTAAAACTTGATGATGGCTTGCGCCATCTAGAGCGCCAAATAGTTAATATTTATTCCGATAGATGGCGTAAGCCATCAGCAACGTATGATCAGGGGATACTTTTTTCTTAACATACAAGTATATTTTATAAACAGTAGAACGTCCCTGTAAAGGATAACACCTAATTGCAGAGCCAAAGTGTCTTTTAGGAAGAGGTGTTCTCTTACCGGAGAGTTGTTAAATTGTAAAAATGGTTATTTTATAAATGAAAACTGTCCTTTGTAGAGAGGTGTCCGTCAGTGGGGTGTTCGCTAAAGGGAGATTCTACTGTATTTAATAAAATATTATTCTCGAGATATATATGTCTATTAAAATACACTAATTAATTAAAATAAAAAAGAGTGTTTAAAAGACAATAAAAACGTTAACAATAAATAGCAGACACCTCTAAAGAGGGTCTACCTCATGTTTAGAAGAGTTTTTGTAAATGACATCACATTCCTCTGCTCATTAGATATAATGAAAGGTAAGAAAGACTTGTTTTTACATGTTTTAACTTGACTTTGAAATTGTAGTTAGCTAATTATAGCTACCATTTCAATGAACTCTGTAGAATTTTTGTGGTACCTGGGAAGTCTGTTGGTGCGTTGAAGTATTTGTGAAAGTGTGTTTTGATAGTGAAGTTCTCGTTGTTTTTCTAAAGTTGAAAGAAGTTTGGAAAATCGATAAATGGACGTGGGTTGCTAACCAGGATGTCTGAATGACCAGTTTTTTGGTCGTTGAGGTACAGCTTACACCATGATGACGAGGGCCAAAAGCCCGAGACGCGTACATGGTTAACTTTT